CAGCCAGCCCGCCGCATTTTGCCGACTAATTTCACAATAAAAGCAACAACAACAACAACAACAACAAAAAAGAGCACATCATCCTAGGGTGGCCTGTTTTTGAGGGGGGGCAATGGCAAACCCAAACCCAAACCCAAACCTCTAACCCTTTTTAACGTTACATTTTATGGCACACATGCGCTAACAGGTTTAAAAATTACATTTAATGACAATTGGCGGAGTGCACAGAGTACTCCTGCCTCTCTCTATCTGCGCTCCTGGCGAACCTGTGTGTCCTGGTTACACGTGGGTTTCCACTCTCGCTCTCGCTCTCGCTCTCGCTGCCTCTCTCTGTCTGTGTCGCCGCAGCGGCAGTTCGTGGAACATGTGTCGCGCCTGGTGCCGTTGCCTTTCGCAATTTCCAGGCAAGTTGCTCCCATTAGCCACATAATTTTAAGTGTGTTCATTGCCCCATGCCACAGCCCCGCGCATCCTTGCCCCCTACCTCCTGTTGTGGGTCCACCGCCGCTGCTCCTCCTCGGGCTGCTGCTGCTTGGAATGGGTTTGTCGCGTAGAACGAGCTCATTTAATATTAAAAGGATTTATGAGACATTTTCCTTTCATTTTGACAACGAACGAGCGAGGGTAGCAGGGGCAGGTGTGGGGCTGAATGGCGAATGAAAATTGTGTGCCTTTGCTTTTGCCGTTGATGAAATTTTCGCTTAACAGAATTTGTGACGCTTCGCGAACGGACAGAGGGACAGACGGACGTCGGCGCCTACGCACGGTTAAAGGGTTTTACACCCACACCACCATTTGCCATGGCAGGATTCCCTTACAATCATCTTACCCCCTGCCGCCTCACTTTCCAATCCCTTTCCACCAATTTCCGTTTTGCTGTGCTATTGTGTTGCCCTGCCCTGCCTTGCCTCGCGCTCGACAGGCAACTTTGGCGATGGTTTAGCTTACGCCCGGGAATTATTTGAGTGCTTTTTGGGAAGCGTTTCGCAGTGCCCCCAATCCATGGCCGCCGTAACCCATGCCCCGTTCCAATGAGCTCATTCCGGAGCGTGTGAAAGTGCAGACGCCGCTGAAATGCTGCTTTAAAAAGGCTTCTCAACAATGTGTGGGTGTGTGTGTGTGTGTGTGTGCGTGTGCGTGTGCCTGTGTGCCTGTGTGCGTGTCAATTTTTGACAGATTTGAAAATTATTATGCAAAATGAATAATTTAGTTGAAAGTGTTAAATTGATTTGGCCTTTTCCTCCACTAAACATAACCAGACGTCAACACGGGGACTGACAGACAGACGGACGCTTCATCTCTTGTGAGTTGTTCTCCCATTTTCCACTTTTCATCTCCATCGGGCAGATGATGGAGCAGATGATGGGAATGTCGGCAAGCCTTTGGGTCCCTTTGCTCCTCCTCCGCCTGAAGGAAAACTCTCTGCTTAATGCTATCGATAGCAGCTCTGTCAAAATGAAATATGTATGCCACTTGTCAAACGGAGAGCGGAACGAGAGAGAGACTCAAGCAGAGGAGCGTAGCGGAGAGGCTGCATACGTCGATGATGGGCCTTGATAAAGTGTCAATTTTATTTCAACTATGGCTCATTAAATTGAATAATCAGTGAAGAGCAAGCCGAGACGGGGCAGATGCAAACACAACTCAAGAGCAGACGGAGCCTCAACTTGCGCACAAAAGAATTATCTGCGATGAGCTCGCAATCTCTTTTGGTGTATTATTTTGAAGAACTTTAGCTCTGATTAAAATTATGCTAAGGGGAGTAGGAAAGTGGGATTTGTGGGTTTATGGAGATCAAATAGTTTGAAGTTGGATGATGTTTCTGGAGGTGTAGATAGCTACCAAAAAGTAGCTTTTCATTTATATTTAACTGGATTATGCTTTGGAACATTATTTATGCAGATATGATACAGAAATGGAAATCAAGGCATTTTAATGCTTGTTTTGGCCTGATTTTGGATTATTGCTTGAATAATTCCTACAGTAGAAATTCCCTAAAATCTTATAGGGAATTGAAACCCACAGACATGGAATTAAATCCAAATTTAGTAGTGAAATTCCGTACCAGAGTGCCTAAAACTTTACTCTGTCTCTCATTTTGTTCGTTTTGTGCTTCCTGCTATCCCCCTCCTGTCTGCTTGTCCCTCCCCTTTCACATCTATTTGACGTTATCGCTCGCACCATCCATCCTACGAGTGACTTTCCTGTCAACTGCATTGTAACCAGCGGTACGCCCCTTATGCGCTTGCTGTTCCCAGCGTCACGCCCACTCTCCTGACGTCATTTGTCAAATTTCCAGGCATTATTCGGCCAAAAGACATGACCCCCATGGCCATCAAACATTGTGGCAGTCTGTCTGTCGCTCTGTCTGTCTGTCCGTCTGTCTGTCTGTCCGTCTGTTGGTGTTCCACCTTTGAAGACCTTCCCGCACCACATTTGCCGGCTGCTCATCGGAGTCGTTGTGGCTAATATTGACATTCCCTAATCTCTGCTCCAATGCGGTGGTGGCTGGCTCTGGCTCTGGCTCTGGTGTGGTTCTGGTGGCCGTGAAAATGCCGTGTCATTCTGCTAGTATGCGTGTGTGCTTCGGCTCCATTTGTATCTGTATCCTGTAGCTGTCGCTCTGTAGCTCTGTATCTATGTATATCTGTAGATGTATCTGTATCCTTGGTCTCTGTCGCCCTTTGTGCTTGCGGTGCGTGTATTTGTCTTGAGGTCGCGTTTGGTTACGGCTCCTGGATGGGCCTGGGTGTGTTTCTACTTTTGATTCATGCTCCACGCTATCAGCATTGGGCGTGTTCGCTGACCCGTGCCCCCGTGGGCCGTGGCTGCCATTTATATTTGATGATGACATTGCCACCGGAAGACCTTCCTGTTCGAAGACCCAATCTAAGTTTGAGTTCCACTTTCAGTTTATTAGTTTAAGTAGCTTCATTTTTGTGGCAGTGATTAGTGCCACATGCCACACACCTACAAAGTGCTGGCCATTACATTTCGCATACTGAATCGCTTTTTAACAACGCTGCAATTTTTGTGGCTGTAGCAGAGACCCCGGGAGGCTGTGCCAGCTATGATGCACCATTATGTGGCAGTGTTGCCGCTTGCCGCTGTCTCGGACGTCATGTTGTCTCACAGTTACTCTCTGGCAGGCGCTTGCAACTTGATTTTGACTACACCAAGCCCCAGCCGCAGCCCCACTCGTTCTCCTCTAGCTCTCTCTCTCTCTCTCTGCCTCTATTTTTGTGCTGTGCAAATTGTTAGAGGCGCCGCCCGCGGTGCTGCCTGCCGTCCCCTCGAATGAACCGCAAAACTCCAGCCGAAACTTAACCTGCCGCAAAGTGCAGCATAGACCAAAAAAATAGAAGCCTGCAGGAGGGATATACATATGTATGTGTATGTATCTGTGGCAGCCAGTAGGAAGTGGCAAGGATATCTGGGAGCCAGCAGCAGCAGACAACGAAACGAGGAACAACGATGAGACGACGATGACTGAGACTGAGAGACAGGGAGAGCGTACGCTATGGGCCAAAGCGATTTGCTTTTGCCAAAAAGCTGCACGACTAACTTTGTAGTTGCAGTCCCTCGCACTCTCTGACTCTCTCTCTCTCACACTCTGTCTCCTTCGCTTCTCCCCTTTAACTGGGGAGCAGCACAAGTGTTTTAATTTTACGACATTGTATGAATTTTACTGCTGGCACTGCAGAAAACATCAGCACCGCTGTTACATATCGTTAGCTTCCTTAACGGACATATCCTCCCCTTCGCTCGCTGCTGGCGCTGAACCTTAACTCACTTCATCCTGCTGCTGCTGCTGCTGTAACTTCTCTCCTGCTACTCTCTATCTCTCTCCCTGTGTGTGTGTGTGTCTGTGTCTGTTGTCTGTTCCGTGCTCATAAATTGCAGCTTGTTGCAAGCGTCAGTGCAATCAGCGTCATCAGCTTCATCCGGCTTCAGTTGAGGCTTCCAACGCTCACCATGGGCCCAGGGATACCCTTAACCATATAACCGGCCAGAGGGACGGGGAGCAACTTTGCCTTTTTGCTGAGTAACCAGAAAACTTTAAACAAGTTTTTTGTATAACTTATAAAGAATTATGATAGCCCTTCTCAGTGGGCGCTATGATTTTGACTTTGGAAATGCAAAAAGGGCGACCCTACACGACCCTTAGTTCTAGTCCGATCAGCTGTAGATACGGATATATTAACTGCAGAAAAGCTCTTTGTCTGGAATTATTTCTGGCTTTCGTGGCGCACAGTCCAGAGGTTCCACTGTGCCTTAACTGCCATCACTTAACGTTAACAGTTTACGCTTGCCTGCGGGCTAAAAAGGCTGGCGTTGCACTACACACACACATACGCACACTTGTACAAAGCCAGAACGAGAGAGAGTGAGAGAGCACCTAACACACGCATACAAATGCTGTGCCTGTGCTGCCTTTCTCGTTCATGTCTCGCCATCATTTTCGGTGCTCGACTGCTCGCCGCTCGACTGTTTATCCCCCCCTTGATGCTGGGGCTGCTGCTGCTGCTGTTGCATGCGGCGCTAACTGCGTAAAGTTGGCACTTGAAAATGTCAGCTTAAAAATGCCAGCTGCACACAGAGAAAGGAGTGAGACAGAGGGAGAGAGAGTGGGTGCGCGACAGAGACAGAACACTTGCATGTAGTACATAAAATGCACAAAATGGTCGAACGACTCATAGCGAAAGTTGGATAGCCCATAAGTTACAGGAGGAGCTGCAGGAAGGAGGAGCGCCCCAACGCAAAGTCGAAACTCAACATCTGAGACGGAGAAGGCAACGTTGCTGGCGGTGTAGGCGACAGGGGTGCGGATGATGGAGGGGTCATAACTTTTGCGTAACCCCAATATAAAATGCATATTTAAATGCCAGAGCAGGCCATACCACTTAACCTTTTCTACCAACGTACATTTATATTCACACTCTGCATTTTGCTTAACACTATTCTCATGAATTGTCTTACTTTTCTTCTGTGTGTTGCAGATGGTTACGAGAACGAAGAAAATCTTTGTGGGCGGCCTCTCGGCGCCCACCACGCTCGAGGATGTCAAAAGTTATTTTGAACAGTTTGGTCCGGTAAGTGGAAGTCTCATACATACAGCCATCTGCCTATCTATTATTAAGAATGAAAGCTATAGCTGCATGGTGTATTCAAGGGAATTTAACTTATGAAAGGTGTGGGAACTGCTTCCACTAAAAGTAGAGCCTAAAGCCAAGCACAACCGATCGGCCACTGAGCCGAACGAATTTTCTACCTGCGCTTGCGTTTTATGCTTCGTGCCTTGCTCGCAGCACTCGAAGCTCTGTCTCACAGTAACACAACAACAGAGGTGCGTATGAGCGCAGTCGAGAGCTTGCATTTCTTGCTGTTGTTGTTGTTGGGCACAAGCATCAGCCGATCCATGCATGTCTGTGCATGCACAGTGTGTTTGCGAAAAGCAGATGCAAAGAAGAAACGAAAAAAGGGTCGTTGCTTGCACAACAACAATATCGAATGTGCGCTCTGCATTGGGTGCATATAATAACTGTATTTTGGGTAGCTACAAATTCAGCAGGGGCTGGTTCTGGTTTTTCTACCTGCTGCAAACTTAAGCTTGAGGGAATGGATTTCTTTCTGGGCAATCAATATGCCAAATGTTTCTCTCTCATTTGAATATTCATGAACATATCTGAATCATCATAGAAATGCACGCATACATACAAATATCTGTATTACTGTGTACCATATCTCAAAAGAGACCTGCCTGCCTGCCTGCCAGCAAATGCTAAATGAATTGAAGCAAAATAATAATCATAAAACGAAATGTGAATGACAGTTGTGGAACAAATCATGCAATCTATTCCGCAAGGCAAGGCCCTAAGCACACACACAAAAATACCTTTATGTACATTACTCTAGCTCTTGGCTGATTCTGGCATTTCTGGGTGGGGCGGTGGGCTCGGGAGAAGCACAGCAATGACACCTTCACTGGCTGCCACTTGCTACGTTTTGTTTGATCAATAAAAACGCCAAAAAAAGAAAGAGAAATGAAACGAAACCCCCCAAAAAAACGAATGAAAGAGGAAAAACCTCCAGCCAAAAAAAAGAGGAAATTTCCTACCAAATTCAATCTTGACAAGTACTGCAGAAGCACAGGAGGAGTCCCGTGCCTGCCCATGCCACCTGCAGCAGCAACTCCACTTAAACCCCCCACACACACACACACACAACCATATGCATATCGAGTGTGTGTAGCTGTGTGTGTGCTTTGCGGCTGAGTGCTGTTCGAGTGCTCTTTAAGTTCCTCCTCCATTCAGCCATGTTAGGCAAAGGCCCAGGCCCAGGCCCATGGTACAGCGGGGAGTTCAGTTGAGGTTCGGTTCAATGGAAGCCTTTTACTCCCACAGACCCCACGCCCCCAGACTTGTTATAGCGCAAAAACACAAATTTTTAGCACGAGAACAAAAATTGTGTGTTGTTGATTACGATACTAAACGAAAATCGATTTGTTAGACGCGTTTTGTGCCGCTCCGATCCGTTTCGTCGTTTCGTTTTGTTTGGTTTTTCCCTGATTTTAATGAGCGGCATAGCCCCTCTCTCTAGATCCCCTCCATGGAAAGCCAAATCCGGATATTCATTAACGATACGCAGGAGCCGTAGCAGGAGGAATGAAATGACATTCAAGTGTACGCAGAAAACCATTAAAAAAGAGTTTAAGATTTAAATGGTTCGATGGTTAAACGTTTTTCGGGGTGTGGGATTTTGTCTTTCATCTTTTGGGAGCCTTAAAAGCCATCGAAAGAATTGAAGGGGCATAATGGCTAAAGCTAAAGCTGGAAATACATGAAGAATGCGGGATTGTGGTAGCTAAAAAGCCTCTCGAAAAGGTATCCCACAGTTGGGTGCGGAATATAGAGGATATTCCTCAATTCAAGAACAACTAAACAACATCAAATTCCCTTTAAAATGCCACTCCTTCGGCTTTCTCATATTTCCCATTGAGCCGCGACAAATTTGAATGAATTTGAACAGCAAATAAACACAAAGGAAACACAATCGATTCCGATGGCTATATCGGGTGACAACTACAAATGCCATTATTTGTTTTTGCCATGCAAATTATTCCCCCACTCCCCCCCCCCCCTGCCATTCCACAACATTCTGAATGGGATTTCTCTCATTCCCCATGCTTTCACGATGAGATTTCTCTCAATGCCACGCTTTCAGCAGGGGATTCCTTATGCCACAGAAAATCCCATGCCCCAATAAAATGAAATTCAACGCCTCTGTGGCGGCACTTGGGTCTTGGGGCAGGTGAAGCTGCCGATAATTGACATAAATTGGCGCAACTTTTTGTCAGCTCTTCACCGCAAAGACGTCAACTGCCATTTGCAATGGTTCATTGCCGCCGCCCCAACGCGAGGGAAACAACTCGCTGCTGCCACCCACCTGATAATGCGAATATAATGACTAGAGAGAGAGAGAGAGAGAGAGAGGAGGGAGGAGGGGGAAAAACCCATAAACGGCCATCAATCAAATCAGCGGCTGAGAAGCGAAATGCTTTTAAGTAATTTTCATCATAGCCCCCGGAGAGTGGAAAACTGTCAAAATCCATAACGAACAAAACTAGTGAGCATAAGGATAAATATCCTGTGCTGGTAGTGCATGATAAATTCAAGGTAATGCTAATGGCAGGACCTCTTCTGCTGCCACAAAGGAAGCGCCAAAGGTGGAAACAAAAGGCTGCCGCTGGCTGCCTTGCTGCCTGGCGATTTAACCAAGCGCGCAAAACTCTTAATGGAAAACTTTTCAATTAATCCGCATTGGCAAAGAAAATTATAATAATAACTTGGCCTGGGAAAATGGTTAAGTGGGAAAGCGATGGGCGGCAGTGGCGGCAGGGGCGGAGTGCCTCTGTGTGTGTGTGCATAAGCCCGGTCATAAGCTGTGCAGAAACTTTCGACAAGGCAAACAAAACAGAAGCCCAAGAACCAGCCAGAGCAGCCAGCACACACACACTTGGCCAAGTTATTGATTACAACTAATCCCCTTTTGGCTTTCGCCTGCCGCCTCATTGGGCAGCAGCAGCAGCCGCCCCGGCCCATCCGCTGGGGTAGAGATTTGCGCCATGGCCATAAACAAAATAGCAAAATGGCAAACCTGGCCCTGGCCCGGCTTAGACCCAAGTCCCTTGACTGCTCTTACTTGCTGCTCCCTGCTCCCTGTTCCCTGCTCCCCGCTCCTGTCACTGGAACTCCTCCTTCCTGCTGTCCAGGTGACCAGCGAGGCGTTAATGACTTTAGCGGCCATTTTTCTTCCGCCCGGATAAGAGCGTGGGACGAGTAGAGATTGCTCCTGGTACAAGATTGATTAGCTGAAACTCTGGCAGACACAAAACCCCATAACGGAGGCATTGACTGTGGCAGTTTGGGCAGGGGGCAGGGGGCAGGGGGCAGGGCAGAGCCATTCAATATGATTAATAGTTGCATGCGTAGCTGCTGTCTCTCTCAGATCACACGCTCCCACTCCCTCTAGATAGGATATAGAATGTGTATCTGTTTGTGTGTTTTTTCCTTTTTTTTTTTTGCCTGGAATATATAGAAATTTATGACCCAGCTGCCAGGCCAATTTCATGTTGCCACAACAGCAGCAGGGCAGCAGGGCAGCGGCAGGGCAGCGGCAGCATTCAACATTTTTATTTCAGTCAGCATTCCACATGCCACATTGCCAGCAACACATTTCAGCCTCTATTCACTGCGTATTTTTTAGAATTTTTCATTGCTTTTTCCATTGTTTTTCCCCATTGTTGTTTAGTTGCATTTTCAGTCTAGTGTTGCGCCCCCACCAAAGGCCCCCCACCCTGTGTGGCAAAGGATACCCTGCAGAGTGTGGGGAATATTTGCTGAAATCAGTTGAATGCCCCTCTCTCCCTCTCTCGCTCCCAATTATCCACAAATTAACTCGAAATCTTTGCTCCAACTCGGAAACTGAATCTGTAGCCTGTAGGCTATTTGTGGCATGTCCTGTGCCCCCTTGGGCATCTCTGTAGCTTTTTGTATCTGGCCAAGGACCCTTGAACACACCTTTTAAATGCAAATCGGAAAAGTGTTTTTATCCCTCCCCAAACCAAAGGCACACAAAAGATAAAAAAGCAAGAAAACAAAACGGACAATTTTCAAAAATTTTCATTGCAAATGTTCTCTATTTAACAAGCACACAGATACACACAGTGGAAAGAGAAGGAACGATAGGGAAGGGGCAAGTGCTGACCTCAGATGCTGCAACCTTTGGCCACTGATTTTATTGCAACTGCTGCAGCTGGTGTTGCCTATGCCCCCTGCTGCTGCTGCTGCAAGCTCTGCGATAACGAAAATTCCACATGCAGAATCAGACAGAGCGAAAATGTTGGGTGGCAAAACATGGGCAAAGAGGCAGCAAAACAGGGGGAAAATGTAGAGCAAGAGGGGAAAGCAAAGAGCTGGCCAAAGGGATGGCTAAAGGGGTGGCCAAGGGGGCTAATCGGGCTAAGAGGTGGCACAGAATCAAAACAGAAAACTAAACCTCTCGTTGGCTAAAAAATTGCAAATAAACTACACATTTTGTTAAATCCCATTTTATGTGGCCACTCCCCTGCCTCAGACTCTGCCCCCTTGGCCAGCTAACTCTTATGGAAATTTTCTCTCCGAGCCAACTATCAGAATCTGGCAGCCAAAGTCCAGTGCTGACCTCCCACCCACCCTCTGGCTTTTAAAGGTGTTTACGGTGTTTGCATTTCACTCAGCCAGCTTGCCACCGTCCCCCTGGCCAGTTACTAAATTTAAGCGCTTTTCATAAGCATTTTATGGGGCACCTCGCAGCTCGAACCTCCTGGGAACACTCAAAAGTGGATGGGCAGCCAAGTGGCCACCAAAGTGCAACATTTCCCCAGAGAGTGTCCGGAGTGCCGGCGGTCACAGCCACGCCCCCCGCACTTGGGTGTGTATTAATTATGACAAATCATGCAAAGCAAAAGCAAAAGTAAAAGCAAAGCAAAGGGAAAAACCAAAACTAATTTCATTAAAAATCCATCGCCTTTTTTATGATTTAATTATGGGGG